CTGTCTATTGTTCAATTGTTATGTACACTGCGAACACCCACGTTTTTGCCATATTACTTTTAAAAGTGACCTTTTAAGCATAGGCAACGATAGTATTTCAGCTTTTTCATCGGGAAAGAACCCAGGTCGCGGTCTACATTGTATATCGAAAGAAAGCTCTTTCAAAACTCTACAAAACGGTGGGTAATTTATTTCTCGTTGGAAGTGTGAACACTCACTTTTTTAGATATTACTACTGAAGATCGATGTTTTTAAGCATAGAGACGGATAATGTTTCTGTGGATAATGTTCTGTGTCTACATTACATATTAAAAGAAAGCTTTTTCAAAACTCTACAAAATGGCTGGTAATTCATTTCTAGTTAGAAGTACGAACGTTCAGGTTTTCGGATGTTACTACCGCAGAATGATGTTTTCAGCATCGGTGGATAGCGGCGATTCATATAAAAGCTACTACCATTTACATCGACCTTTGACGTCAGTGACGAGAACCGTCTCATATTATAGAGCTCAGCAAGCTGAACCGAATGGTGAAAACCGCAAGTCTCTAGCCTTGTTAGAAAAAACGTTATAGCCTTTCTACCCTAGCAGCGGAAAAATGTATTTTCCGGAGGATTAGTCCTGACTTGTTGAACGTCTGGTGACGACATTTCCTAACGTGAATCCTTGAGGTTGGTATCCAATGAAAGAGCGCGTCGAGTTCTATACATTTCGATGAAGAAACGTTATGCTAAGCCTCGGGGTCTTGAGACACAGAGATTTCTAGAAAACCTAGTGAGCTTCAAATTTATTTCAGAAGTTTTTCAACCATATCATTAGATAGCCCCTTCAAATCTCCACAAAAGGAGATGTTGACCACGTTTCTACGATCTCGAACAACAGAGTTACAGGCTGTTAAGAAGAAGGAATCAAGCGGTACTGTGTGGTAACCATTTGACCAAAACCGAGACGAGTGGTTAATATACACATGAGATATCGGAACGATTTTATAAGTGAATTAAGGTTAGTATCATAAAAAAGTGAGAAAAAGGAGAAATTTAGCGTTTAGTGTTAATTAAAAGTGTCGAAAGAAGTCAAACTAACGAAGTCAAATGTAAAGGATACAGAGTGTCGGAGATAGAGTCGAACCTTGAGGGATACTCCTCCATTCAAGCTAAGACGCAACGTTCTCAAACGGTCTATAAATCAATGATTACAATGGCTTTTTTACACTCTTTGTTTTTTTTCTATTCAACCGTGTCATTAGTTCCACGATATATACGAGTGGGAGCAGTATCGTCACTGTATTCACGACCTCTGTCACGATCATGGTCTGTGATGATGACCATGGCGACCACGACCTCGGCAAGGATAGTTGGGGCAACGCGAGTTTCGCCGTGGTACACTTTGGCAGTGAACTTTCGGCAATTGCTGAAAGTCATGCAGTGCCTTAAAAATCACTCTCGACTAAAACCGAACATTCGGCAAATTGCCAAAGTTTCGATTCCGGTTACGGCGAAAGTTCGGCCTACGGCATGACCTTCTACAATTGCCGAAAGTTTTGTTATAGATGATTGAGATTTAAATATACAGGCTAAATTGCTGGATTTGCGCCCATTATTTTGTTAATTACCGAACTTTCGGCAATTGTAGAAGGTTGTTTTTTAGATGGCAGGGGTATCCCCTTAAGAAGATTGAATTGAGATAAACACTTTTCCTTAATTTCAAAAAACGTAGAAATGTGTGATTTTAATTTATTTCGTTAAAAATGATACGTTGTTGACTAAATTCATACTAAGCCGTAACTTCCTCAGTAGCAAGATCGATCAATTTTTTCGATGCAGATAAAAAAGGTTTTCTTTTCTTATTAAGTCAAACAACATGTCGGTGTGTAACTTTTTAGTAATGAACAAGTGCTCTTTCAGACTCTTAGCAGTATACAAAGCGAGGAGTTTAGTATTTTCTGCAGTAAACGTTTCATATGTCAGTGAAAGAGCACTAGTTCATTACTAACAAGTTTCGCATCGACATGCTCTGTCAACCAGCTGTATCAAACGTTTGTTCAAATGGAAATTGGTGCTGGATTTGTAGAAATCTTGTTTCTAGAGATTCAAGAAGGAAAGTTCTCTAAGGAGTTATTCGATAGTTTTAGTTTAGAATACTATAATGGAATATGCTCCGCTTGTATTCTGATAGAATAAAGCTTATATCATATCAAAGTTCTAAAGACACAAGTGGTCATTTTAGATTCGTGATCTACCTCAAAAATTAAACTCAGTCAAGTGTACTTCAAGACGAGATCCATTCTGCACGTCGGATAGTTTCTTTATGAAACACGTCTCGGGGTTTAGACGACACTCACTCACAAACTGCTATCGACGCCAGACGGATGTTTTTTGAATAACTTTTGATAGGAACAAGATAGAGACTTGCGATTTTCAGTTTTGAAATCGAGACACCTGACCACATATTTCTGTAAGCAAATGCAAATGCCAGAAAAACTTATGAAGCGGGTTTTTCAGAGGATCTTTGGAAAATTAGCTTGGATTTGCCGAAAGTCACATAGGAATGTATTGATTTTGTTTCATGGGCTGATAGCCCGAGGTGTTCTCTTCAAAATGGGAGTAAAGTGAGACCTTGATTTTCTGCGGTTCAAAAAATTCAAATTAAAAAACTTGAAAAATCCAAAGTTAAATTTTTATTCTTTTTAAGGGTTATCTTAGAGAAAAAGTCTCCTCATACTTGATAACTCTTGGAAATGTTTACGTAGACAGGCTATATACTGGTTTTGTTTTAAATTAGGTACTTTTCACGATGACAGAATCCGTGCTACACTTAACGTAAAAAAAATGAAAGACGATATTTCATAGTCTGGAAGGGGACGCAATTCTGTTTTTACAGCTTCTAAATATCATCTTCGATTAGATAACGATACACCGCATTATGATACGGTCGTGACACAACAATATCGCGAATTTTTCGTACTACACATTTGGGTATTTTCGGCAGGACATGATGGGCGGTGGAGGTGTGGGCAGTGTGTAACCTTAATCACCAATGTTAGCATTACATAACCTAATAACGGAAAAAAAGATCTCATTTAAATTTATTTTTTCGAAATTTTCACTCACAACCGTATAATACTAGCGCAAATTGCACATATATGTATGCTTTTAAGCAATACCTAAACTAAAAGTTTCGGATTCCAAAAAAAACTAGTCGAATAGTTATAAAAATAGTTTGACATGTGTAACTTGATATGCTCTATAAAATGGCTGATGTAAAAGTCCCAAATTCGATTGAAAAATTTCATGGGCCGGTTTTCTAGAAACGTATGACTGCCTTTTGAATAACTTTTGGTAGAAAGAAGTTAGAGAGCTCTGATTTTCACCATTCGAAAGAGGAGACTTGAGGACATGTTTCCATAACCAAAAGTGTTTCAGAAGGGTTGACCTGAAATAGGTTTTTGAGGAGTTCTTTGTAAAACTAGACCATGTGGAAATTGTATTAATGTTTTTCGTGGTTAAAAAGTTATTCAAAAAGCAGTCATACCATCCTTTTTTTGGATGGACAATAGTTGGAGATATCGCTTTTCACTCAGTCGGTCAGTGTCAAAAATCGGACTACCCCACGCAGACGAGAAAAGTTGTTCGAGAGGTGCGGCGAGTACTCGAAAATGGATCCTCGCCGAGGGCTCGATCCCTTGAAAAATGAGACTTCGAACCGTCAATATAAGCGTTCGAGGGGTTACCGGTTTCTAGACCTCGGGTTTCAGATAGGTACCGATCCGCTTAGCAGTGAGGCTCGGAACTTCCGAGCCCTCCTCGGACGACGAGGGTTCGAAAGTCTTTTCGTCTGCTCGAGTGCCAGACATCCTCTACTCTGAAATCTTTCTTTAAAGTAATAATGTGAGTAACTCTCATACCAGCTGACACGGTGCAGACACGGTGCAGCTGATAATCGATTTGTAAGCAATTTTCCATGATATGTGTTTACGTAGCAAATTAAAAACGTATAGTAGAATTAAAATGAAAATTGATGAAAATACAATGAGAACGAAATCATCGCAAAGAGATTACTCTTTTCAATTCAAACACAATGTATAGTGACATACAAAGTATATTTTATTATAACACATCGTTTTTTGTAAGGAAAATTTTGGTGCATGGTTATTACTACGAGCCTTATACACATAATGTTTCTTTTCTTTCTACAAGTAGAGTCAAGAAACAAAACATACTTTTTCGTAAGAAAGGATGTACAACCAATAAGAAGTGTAAAGGAATAATATATACACAAAGAATCCTCAGCAAAAACATCTGGCATACAAAAAAGTTGAATGAGATAAATCAAAATTTGAAATACCAAGTTGAAAATATTACAGATAATAACATTAACTTTTTGGAAGTTTATTTATATAAAGATTTTGTTAGTGATCGCTTCCTCACTAAAACCTACAGACACATTTCATGTGTATGTGTCGAGTCAGGTCACCGTGACTTCGTTTTAAAGAATTTAGCAACAACCCTAGCCCACAGAGTCAAAGAAATCTGCAATGATGAAAGTGGAAAAGAACTCAAATATGCCAACATTATTTTGCATCTACACAAACGGGATCACTCTATTAAAACGTTCTATCTAGAATCCGCAAAGCAGAAGACTTAAGTCGGGTTGAGCTAGTAAAACTGAAAAGGATCGCTGTCGACACTTCGAGGACAAAAACACAACACTCGAAAAATAATTTCGATGACATATAGCAAATAACTCGGTCGAATATGGCATATATTTGGACAATATTCGCATTCGAAAATGGATTGATTGAAATATACGTGGACATATAAATGCTCTCTAACCTTTAGCGTCGTTTGATTCATTCTAACCACTTGGGTGATTTGAAATCAATGATTCCGATCCCAACAAATAATTTAAAGGGCTTCAAGAAATGTACTAGAAAAATTTGTAGTTTAAGTAACAGTGTAACAATCGAGATTAAGCAATGGTTAATACACACACAGTAGGTTCCTACTGTTCAATTAATTCAAACCGGACATGAAAGGATGGTATAATGTCAATATAAAATATTTGCATTTTTGTTTCAATTTCTTCTTCTACTTTTATTATTTTAAATCTTATACCAGGACGTAATAATACTTCTTCTTCCATTGTAAATTGTGACAGTTTTGCTATATAAACACCTTGATCACTTGCTGAACGTTTTTTCATTTCAATAACATATAAACTATTACCATTACCAAACAATTCAGCTGCCTCACGTTTTTTTGATGTCGATACAAATTGTGACCATTTCCAGATTGTATCACTACCAATAGATAATTTATAAAGTTCAATAACATCAGGTGTTAACGGTTCACCACGATACAATGTTATTTGTTTTGGTAATTTACCTTGTTTATTCTTTGGACTATGGGTATAGGTGTATAGTAGAAAACAAAATGGTCCTAACGTTTCAAATTTGTCACGATTATTATCTCGTAATGTTTCGTTAATAATTCGAAATAGAAATGACTCTTTTGTATATAATTGTATACAAACTTCTTGTATGATAAATAACTTTTCGGCGTGTTGCACTCTACGCAATTCACTAATAAAATGATTTGCATCTTCGACTGCCTTCTTCTTATCATCTAGATATAGTTCACTTTCAGCTAATATACCTTTTATTGCTAAATCAACTATAATGCAGTTTTTTATTTTCAATTTACCATTTGTAATCCATTTATACCAATCAACAATAAAACTGCAACCACGAAAATCTGTATCTTTACTAAATGAACCGGAACGAGATAATCCTGTTGGGAATTGTATACGTTGTTCACAATCACTTGTAGCAGTATCAAATTTTGTTGTAATACTTGTGGCTGTCGCAGCTGCTGATGTAGCTGATGGTAAGTGTGTAGTAGTAAGAGATTGTCTAAGAACAGGTCTTTCTTTAAATGCGTCATTTAAATTTATTTGTATCTCGTGTATAAAATCAATTTTGTATGTTTTGTTAATTACTACTTCATTCTCTCCGTTTAAATAAGCTTTTTCAATTATTTGATTGAAGTTTGATTCATATGGAGTAAATTGTTTTTCTTCATCGTTAAGCCATGGATCTTTATTTGATTTCCAAAACCACTGATATTTTATTTCGTTATCATCTTGATTGCTTTTATCATCATTATCACCATCAGAATCATCACTACCCTGAGGAAAGATATGGACGAGTAGCATAAAAGTGCTCTCGTTTCGATATAGACGATAGTGTGTGCTGTAGCTGAAGCTGTGAAAATACGTTAACTAGTAATTGCTAAACACAGTAGACACACGCACGTGGAATGGTTTTTATAAGTCTATGGTTTTCGTTTTTCTTTTTTCATAGGCAAGACGGTTACTATGTGTATTGTATTCTTTCTAAAGGTTGTGCAATTATTAGGATTGGAAAAATCCAACGTTAGGACAACAATATAGCGTATCAACGATAGGTAACATTTTTATATAGAATTGGAGTCAATGAAAACTACATGCCTATCAAACGCTAGTTAATTGCCTATTAAATGCTAGTTAACAGCTAATGAAACTGGCATTTTTAGGCAAGTGATTTCTAAAATTTTTAGCATTTTAAAGTGCCGAACGGTATCGGCAATCATACTTTATAAAAAGGATGTTTCTGTTTCAAAACAACATGATGAAGACAAACTAGTTAAAAAGACTATAGAATGAAATCAATGTAAAAAGCGAAACTTTCATATTATGCTTATCGATGTAGAAAAAATGAAATACTCAAAAGCGTCCATTTTCACTTCAAACATATTTGACTTGACATGTGACTACGCGTTGTCATTGTCAGCTGTTTTGTAGATATTTAATCTGTGCGTAGTTTGTATATTTCATTCACATGCCCGAGTCAAATATATTTGAAGTGAAAATATGGAAACGAATGGACGTTTTTGTGTATTTCTTTTCTTTTACATCGAGAAGCATAATATGAATGTTTCGCTTTTTACATTGATTTCATTCTATAGTCTTTTTGACTAGTTTCTCTTCATCATTTTGTTTTGAGATAGAAACATCTTTTTTCAAAAGTGTGATACGTACGATATAATTGATGAAAAATTTTAAATTACAATTTTAGGATTTACTGAGATGGGAGTCGAAAATATTCCTCTATCCGAAAATGTAGTTTTCATCGACTGTAGTGCTGTTTAAAAATCTTACCTCTCGTTGAAAATTTTCTGCGCTGATATTGTACCGTTGATAAATTAAATTTTATAAATCATAAATCAAATTTTTTCAAAATTTGTTTTTGCTTATGGAAAGGTAGCTTCAAGTCTTGGCCATCGAATGGAGAAAACGGCAAGTCTTTATCTTTTATTCCCTTTTAACCCCTTCACAATAATGAGCGGTCTTCCTTTTTGGAACTGGTAGTACGTATGTTAAAGCAAAAACTGAATTTTAAGAGAACAAAGAGACTGACAGTCAGGAAATTTTTTAACCTTAATCACCAATGTTAGCATTACATAACCTAATAACGCAAAAAAAGATCTCATTCAAGTTTATTTTTTCGAAATTTTCACTCACACCGTACAATACTAGCGCAAATTGCACATATATGTATGCTTTTAAGCAATACTTAAACTAAAAGTTTCGGATTCCAAAAAAAACTAGTCGAATAGTTATAAAAATAGTTTGACATGTGTACGTGGGAAAGAAGAATGCTTCCAAGATGTCTAAATGTTTAAATTTCTAAAATTCTAAAGGTCTGAATTTCTAAAGTTTTACGGTTTTGACTTCCTAAATTTCTAATGATCGTTCGCTAACACGTTCGGAAAAAACACGTTTTTCCGGCCGTTTCCAATGATTTTTTCCTGAAATTGTAATTTTGCAGTATTTCGAACTGCTAAGTAATGCTTCTGTTGCTCTCCATTAGTTTATTGTCAGCTAGTGTAATGTCAAGAGGATACGCCCGAATGGGAAAAGTGGAAGAATGGTGGGACACAAGTTGAGGGCTTTTCATTTTGTTTGCTGAATATTGGTCATTGTTGTTCATACCAAATATCAAACAGGCTTAGAACTGCTTTTCCAGATGCTGCACGAATGTATGCAAATAGATGAACCAATGAACGTATTAACAGATAACTTGGAGTATCTAAATAAAACAGAAATAGATCAGGCCAGAGTAGTAACCGGTCTAGAAATACCAGACCGGTCCGATCCGGCCAGTCACCGGCCAGTCTAAAGATATTATCAGATCGGTAAAAACCGGCGAGTTCATCAAGTTTTCTCAAATAATAAAATGGATATTACGGACAAAATTTTGTTCTGAATACCTAGAGATTTTTATGCCTGTCTTTTCTGTAATACTTATACTGGAATTCTAGATGTCAAAAAAGCAACCAATATTTTCAAAATTGAGTTTCTTCTGCATGAGACAAGGTTCCTAGCCACAAAAGTCGGTATTTGATTTTCATTTGTTTTGTTAGTTCGTTCAAATTTACACGAGAAAATGTATGTATATAATGTATGCATACATTTTCTCTTGCATACTTCTATGTATACATATAAGTAATAAAGTCAAATGAATGGTAAGATCAAAAAGCATATTATTACATTTTCAACTCACAAACTATATGAAACTCATATGTACAGAAATGTATGTACAGTTAGTGTGTAAATGTAATAGTCTGTCTGAAGCAGTCATTTGTCGAATGACGAAACGTCACGAATAATTTGAAAATAAATTTGGGAAGAGACTCACTATGTCAAATAACTAAAGCCAGCTCAGATGGATTTGGCACCCATACATAGTACCTTTCTGATGAAACATGAACGAATATGCACAACTTTGTGAAACCGGCGAAAACCGGCCGTTCCAACTCACTCAACTAGTCCGGTTCGGCACCGGATCGGTTACAATTCTGGATCAGGCTATCCGGTAATTCAACAGCAGATCTGGTTAGCATACGCATAGTAAAAATATATTAGTGAACAGCAGCAACAAACATCACCGGCTAATCCTACAATTAATGGGTTAGGCTAACGAAGGAACCATCTGAAATGCAAAATCGCTTTCCTTTTTTTTCAAAAACGAAACTTTGACACAGAAATAAAAATTTTTAGGAGGAATTTTATTCCCGTATCAAAAGAGCATTTTAGAAAGTTTATTTCAAGGCAAAAGTTGTTCATTGCATTCCCCACGCTAACGTAAAATCAGAATGGACTAGCATGCCGACTAGTCGGAAGCGTCAAAATTTTTTTTTCAATTAGTCGACATTTTACCCGAGTAGTCGGTATGTAGTCGAATTATGGACTAGTCGAAAGTATTGATAGGTCGAACAAACCGTTGTCGACTAGTCATCCTTTTCTCGAGTAGTCGGTATGTAGCCGAGTTATTGATTAGCCTTTGCTGTTGATCAGCCGAAGTCGAATTGTTGCTCGGCAGACGCTTGATTTTTGACCAGTGGAAAATATTTTAGCTTCTGGAATTTTTTGACAATAGATTTTTTACTATATTAAAACAGGAAAATATGATACAGTTACATCTGGAGTAACTATATTTAATTATTAAAATGTTTTTTTGCGAAAGAATTTTTGACATGCTTAATGGAATATTCGGCGAACTCAAACTGTTACGCCAGGAGACACCAATAACGTTAGTTTTTTGTTGAAGGTTACCAAAGATGTAATATGATATATTATTCGCCCTTCTTCTTCCAAACGAAAGCTTGCAAAATTGCTTTCGAGACATATTAAAGCTAAGTTCATTCTGAGCATTACATTTATTCAATAACATTTGATTAAAATGTGTGAAAGAACCTCTGCAACGGTCTATAATTATCTCCTATGTACTGCATTGATGGTTAATAAGTATAATCAATTGGTATTGGAGAACTGAATGCACCAACAGGGACACGCACGTTTTCCTTTCTGTCATTCTTTTGTCTTTTTGAGCGTATGCAATCGTTGTTTAAAATCGCAAGAGTTGTTTATCATCACAGTAAAAATTAAAAAAAATTAAAAAATTGAAAATTTTTATTTTACTTAAAATTCTGATTTTGTTTGAAACTATGGCTTTAAAGTCTGGTTCTGTTGCCCCTAGTGAGTTGAGTTGAGTCAGGAGACACTATGTTATAGCTATATAGCTATAACATAGTGACACAAATATATATTTGTGTCTTTTCTGATTTTAGCTATCTGTGTTGTTACTTTTGAAAATCAACCAACAGGCACCTTTTCTCTTGTCCGATCATCATTTATTCATAGTGCGGTCGGTATTCACAAAAGGAATAAACATTAACAAAGATTATTTTTTTGTTCATCCACGTAAATGCGACCTAAGAAAACGTGGTTTTGTGTTTTACATTGGTCGGTTTTCAGGGATTTTTCTGTATAACTACTTAGTTTCTTTTTATTGTCATTGAAGGACCTGAGGCCAAATGTCAGGAGTATTGCAAATTTTATGATGCTGAGGAAGTCGATTGTGTTACGTGGCTTGGCTGTTCTCAGGATTTGTTTACTAATATGTCTAACAGCGATTCATCAATGATAAGTGCTGAGAACCCTAACAACGCCAGAATTACAGCGCACAAATGAAACGTGTCACCATTAGTGTTATCAAATTCGTTTATGTCTTTCGGGTCATCACCAGCGAAAAAAAATAGCATATGAGATTAAAGGTACTCCAACTACGCATCGTTCTTCTAGAAAACGCTCGAAGAAAAATAATCTATTTAGAAGAACAATTAGCTGAATTAAAAAGGATATCAATTCGTAAGCGTTGAGGACCGTATAACGCTTTTTTATGGTTGCATATCAATTAGTTCTAACATTGCTTCTCGCTTGTCTTTTAGCATATCCAAATGCGGAACAATCGTTATATCTTCGAAATGTGGTATCTGTTCTCGATTTAAATGGCGGAATTGCAAGTACTCGAGCCACTGAGGTATACAAATATAGTGTGTTGAACAGCGTGACTGTATCCTGTATATCTCTTTTTTTTCTTTTTTTTTCTTAGGATGGTGACAAATTACCAATATCTGGTATTGAACTGTTTAAAGTAATGTTAATTTTCAAAAACTTTAAGAAGAAAAGAACTGTTAATTTAGTTAAAAGTTGTTATAAAAATGTTGATTTTGGAAATATGACTGATAATACTTTATGCTCTATCAATGCAGAATCGATGAGAAATATACTCGATAAGAGCATGAGGTATTCCTAACAAGGTGTTGAATTGAATTGAGTTTTTTTATTAGCATACGGAAAATCATCAAGTGTTGGTGAAACATTCACTCAAACCCAGTTTAGTGGATGTATATCAATGATGTGTAGACATCAAAAGAGTGATAAGAAACAAAAGTCACAAAAGAAGAAGATTGTTGGAGAGCAACACGAGATGGTTGCAGAAGAAAACGATGGTGATCTAGAAGAAGAAACTCGTAAAGGAGAAAATGATAATAGTGAAGATGACGATGAAACATTAATAATGAACACTAATCATTTGTACGCAAAATAGGCCATATATTTTTCATGTATAAATATAATTATTGCTCTGTTTTTTTTGTTTTGTGTCACAAATAAAAATCAGTACTCTCGTCAAATGAGAATACAACAATAACAACTTTCTTTGTTGTAAAGAAGTAAAGAGATATCTGTTCTTTCTCCCATGCCAGTTTGTATGCGTATTTCATTCATCTTATTCGATTCTGATCACAAAATGTGAACAATTAGCCATTAAATTATGTTTAGATGAGTTCAAAGCGGAGTTATTATCGTAAACGTTAGAAACCTAATGTGCTCGATTTAAGTATTTATAAACCAGATATTGTGAACGAAGCAACAATATCTACCAAGGTTCTTGTAGCTAACACGTCGACACCATCAATTGCTTCGTTCGCCTGTACCTCTGGTATTCACATTAGTTAGTACTTAAAAAATCACTTTAAATAGATTCATCACTTTAGATCATGCTGCCACCCACAATACATCAAGCGATAGTGATAATGTTCTAGAAAGTGAAAGAGGTGAGATTCTTTCTAATTTTGTAGAACCGATTCCATACGATGTAGTATTATGATTTTTTCGAGGCTGTACGACATGATGTGAATCATCTCGCATTTTGCTATCTCCCTCTCTCATGGCTATGTTGTATTCCACACAGCCCCTTTCCCCATGTCAAGGCTGACGTCATCTATTTATCCCTCCTTAGAAAAAATCTCAGTTCGACGAACATAACAAACACAAGAAGATATTGCTAGTTCTAGTGTCATTTTTAAAGTACGCCGCCGTCAGAATAATGTCTATATGAATTTTTTGGTTCAATTTTTACATGCGTTGAATGTATCAAACGCACTACTTAGTTGGAATTCAATAAAAGGAAAACTAGTCTTAACAAGCGTTTCAAATCTGTTCATTACAATTTATGCTCCGATTGTGGTGAAATTGTCAACAAGGGTCTAACGTCATGCACAACATGTAAATGTAGTCAATTGATTGATTTCTTTTCTTTCTTACCCTCTTGTCGAACAAATTCAATATCTTTTATTGATTAATAATATTTATAGTGATATGATTGATACATGAGTGAATAATGTCAAAAATTTATCATGTACACAATATGGACACATTTTAATGACTGAACGGGCTGACACATCGTTCGCCATGTTAATTAATGCTGATGGTGTTGTAACAAAAAACAAAAATATCAATTTGTCACCGATTACTTTTATGGTGAATGAAATTTCATTACCACGAAGAAGATATACTAATTCCAGCCTCTATTCATTCATCTAATGCAGTAATGGCTACATGTTTGAGCATTATCAATGAAGATCTAACTCAATTAGAAGATGGCCTAAAATATTTCATTCCAGAATATGGTCGTCGCACATTGAAATTCTTTTTAATTGGCTCATGTTCCAATAAGCCGGCTCAAAGTTTAATAGCAAATATGTCCGGATTCAATGGTGCATTTGGATGCGGCAAATGTTTCACACAGGGTGAGAAGAGTCAACTATTACGGGGAAACAGTTGGATTCTTTATTTAGGAGAAGTTCACCATGGAACTAACACAAGAGGAAAAAGATACAATATGCGTATCTTTCCCTATGAACGGTCCGAACGACGAAACAACAGCGTTTGTCAAAGTACGTGGGCTTGAAACAAAAGGGGCATTGTGGTATGTTTGTTTACATGAATGTACTCATTCATTGTATTATGCTTAAGGACTATTTTCTGTGTTAAGGTCCATGTGTGCTGACAACGTTAAAATACTTCGAATATGGAAAATCTTTCTTATTCGACAATTTACATACGTTATATCTCGATGTTTTCAAAACTTTGTGTAAGTTTTATTTTGATTCTAAACATCGAACACATCCATCCTCATTATATAAGAAAATTGAACAAATTTACTATGCGCTCGCACATATTCGTACACCAACAACGACATCAAGACGCTTTCGATCTATAAAAAAGATTAAAAAATTCAAAGCAAATGAATTAAAATCTCTTACGCATCATGGTAGCACAGTGCTATTGGAATATATGAAGCCTGTTTATCGTGAACATTATTCGTTACTATTAGCGGCAATTAATTTAGCATCACAGGTAAGCGACAGGAATCGAAGAAGTTCATATTAACTTTGTTTACTTGATAATAATTTGATTCGATGCTTCGCTTCGCTACACGTTTAATTATAGGATATTGTTACATCAGAAAATATTGAAGCAATCCGGTTGTTAGACGCTTTTGTTGAAAAATATGAAAGAATTTTTGCGGTGAAAGTTAAACTTCTTTTAACTGCTCTTGCTATTCACCGTCATTCTCACCTTTTTCTTCGTTAATTATTTTCGTGGTAGAATCGTCGAGACTAATATCCAAAAATGTTGTAACTGGATTATGGCCTCACACTATTATGTATGATACACTACACCTTTACAGTATATATTTGGCATCCTTGCTTTCACTTCTTTTTCTATTTTGTCTTCTGTTTATCAGAGATTTGGACGCGCGATATTTGGGCGCCGACATTGAGGCGCGCGCCACATTTGGGCGCATGGATGGAAAAAGCATTCAGTAATATTGCATTTGTTAAACTATGATGCAAAACGAGAAAATTTTCTTTAAACAAACTTCGTACGATGTGAGAGCTTTTTCTATCTTACTCATATCCAATTGTACCTACTATTTCTTTAATCTTCATCGCTACTCAGACTCACACTCACCCACACTGGCGTGTTAGATCCTAAACTATCGTTGCGCCCAAACGTCGTTGCGCCCAAATGTCGCGCGCGCCCAGATGTCGGTTTACCTTGTCTTCTGCAATCTATCTATCTCTCACGATTCTGTTCTGCTCCTGGGTGATGAAAGAAAAAGAAATGGGGCTTGTTAGAATTGGAATATAATTTACCTTCACTTTTTCGTTTTTAGATGGAGGACTCATTGAAACTGTACTGTCTTTTCTAGAGGTTTAACGACAGATCATCGGGCTACAACATGGAAAAGACCGTCTACGAGGATGATAACTTTCGAAACTTTGTGGTGTGGTAATAACTATTTGCAAGTGGTTAAAGCCTGTCGCGTCTATTTGAAGCTCACCTCCGAGCAAGTACAAGATCTCGAAACATCTCTTGCGAAAGAAAAAATGACAGTACCCCGGCTAAATGATTATACCGAATGTATTTTAGCGGTAAGCTTGTCGAATCGAATTGCCCTTATCTACTGGCATTATGCTCCAGTTTTCCATGTGGGTCCTCTCAAAAACTCTTCTTGCCATTGACTATGTTCGTTATATTATGGATACCTGTGAAAACGTACTTGTAATACCACCTGTCGATATTCAATATAACAATCTTCTTACAAGCCCATTTCAAGAATCAGCCATACCAAGCATGGAAATACACCAACATGATGTCGAAGCAAGCGAAACTCTTAATATTATTCAACTGAACAACAATCAGACGGCAAATGAACTTTGTTTGCCCAAGTAGCATTCAGATAAATGTATTTCGGAACTATATCAAGCAAAATTGCAAGCATCAGACGATCACACACATCTTCTCTACACTGCTCATATTCATGAAACGGTCGTAAACGACAATAAACGTCAGTGTTCCATTTCAACCCGAGCGCTTACGAACTCATCTACTCCTTCAGATAAACCGATCTACTACGAACAAGCTACCACTGATGCTCGGACAGTTTGGGTTAAAGATCACGCGTTCTTTAGAGAAATCAAACAGCGGGCTTGCGACGTGTTCAAACCATTTGTCAGAGAAGATCAACGCCCTGAATTTGATCAGCAAGTTTCCATCATCGACCGTGAGTACGATAATCTAGCGACGCAAGAAATTATGCAAAATCAAAAAAACTTTGCTCAAACTTCCATTGAATTGTGCCAAACCCATTCGTGTTATGCAAAGCATAATAAAGATGGGATCATCAATGGTGCAGCTAAGTATTTATTTCATTTGAATGAGGATTCGTCAACACCAGAGGATCCTTATGATGTTTGTGTTGAGAAATGTTCTAATAAATGCTACTCAGTGATGAACATTTTGAACGAACTGATAAAAGATTCAGATAATCAACATTACCATTTGGAGAACCTCAAACTGCTCATCGACGAGATCGACAAATCTTGCTTGAACTTTCGCATTTATCAGAAAGTCGAACAGCAGTTTTCTCACAGCGTTCTCAGGAGCTGGCAGCATTATTTGCAAGAACAAGACAGTCTGAAAAAAAATTAGCCGGTATCCCACTCTAGCTGATCAATCGAGTGCTCGCCTGGCTGAGTGAAGTGAATGCATTAGCTCAAATTGAAACTCGCTATATGCAAATGAAACTTACATTTTACGAGATCCATCCCATTCTCGATGTCGAAGCCAGTGCGGGCTCTTTTAAGTTGACACGGAGAACGATTGAACTGCCAGTTCGAATTAAACTTTCCTTTGGCTCTAACGCATGCATCGACCAAATTATGTTCTTTACAGAGAAAATTGGCTATATCACTGTAATCGATCATGGTGATAAGAAAATGGTTCCATATTAAACCTCCGTCCACATTAGAAGCCCAGTGGGGTTCTATTATGTCCCGCAAAAAAGGCAAAATTTTCTCAAAAAGTACCCTATGGGACAGGGACATTTTCAAAAAATTTCTTGCCAGACTGGGCTTCTAAGTATCCACAAAACTTATTATTGAAGGCAAAACAAAAATGTACTTTATGTATGACAATGAAGGAGAGCGAGCCGAGCGTGGCAAAATAGACGAGCTAACGGGCCGATTGCAATCGCCCGTCATGATTCATTCATTGTATGGTCATTCTGTTGGAGACTCAGAGAAAAACGTTTCTACAATTTGGTCCATGTGCTTTCTGCAGGCTCATGATTCTCTACTCTTTTTAGATGATGAGTATCATCTGATCGAGTATCACTACTTGGTCAACGAACTGAAGTATGTTCAGCGCCTTGGCAGCATCACGAACCTTTCGTAAACCCACCTCACACTAGAAGCCCACACCATAATAGAAGCTCACCCGCATTAGAAGCCCAGTCTGGCAAGAAATTTTTTGAAAATGACCCTGCCCCCATAGGGTACTTTTTGAGAAAATTTTGCCTTTCTTGCGGGACATAATAGAAGCCCACTGGGTTTCTAATGTGGATGGGGATTTATTAAATGAGATACAGTCGAAAAAGCTAAAGGATTCCCATTATTGGATGTATTTTACTTGGCAGATTCGGCCTTCCATCTGACATCATTAAATGTTCGAAAAAGACTCAAATCGTCGTTGTCTTGCCCGGAGACAGTTTTCCCATCTCACAAGAGTAACTTGAAAACTATTTTATACAACTAAATACTCAATGTATGGATTTAAACTTCGAATCACTCGGGGCGCCCGACTTTGACATTATCTTTCGTCGCCTACCACAGATTGAGTCAGGTCACTTCCAGAATATTGTCAGATCGCATGTATCAATTCATATGGCAACTGTTGAAGGTAACAATGCCTTCCCACTGCGAGATGGATGTAATATCACCAATACGATATCACCAATAGCTGAATGGATAAATGCAAAATCCAATCAAACTGATTTAGTGCAACGCCTCAGCGAGCTCACTAGGATTGGTCCCTACGAACAGATGTTGGAAAATTGTCAGCAAAACATCAGAGTCATCGCCATTATCGGAGCACAAAGTGGAGGTATGTCGATACAAATTATCTGAAAGAAATGCTCAAAGCTGTTTAGAAAAAAAGACCAAAATACTACTATTCAAAAACGGTGCAATCGTTAAGGACACCCTCTTTTTGGAAAAAATTTCGGATTTTGAGCTGAGCATAGCCTAATGTAGAGGAAAGTGTGGGCTACAAAATGAAACCAACTCCACAACCTTTCTGCAAAACGTTATGCATTTCTGAAGTTTTTTCTTCAAAGCCTAAAAAACTCCATGTCTTAGTTTCATAAAGTTTTCTGTCCTTTTCTGTACATCCAAACTTTTTCTTACACATAGTCTGATAGAAGAAAGTGTTTTCTTCACAATGAGATGTTTTCCAGAATTTTCCGATGAGTTTTCGTGGAGATATAAGCATCACGGCAAATGGGAAAAAGACTGGCCTGAGTACGAAATGTGTTTCTTCTCGAAAACTGTTTTTTTGTTACCCGGCTTCGTTGTATCACATTATGACCCCCCTTAAATTTCATCCGATCGAGTTAAAAATTTTACCAGAGTTATATATGTATCAAGACTCTATTGCAGAGGTGTTTTCTTGGAAGTTTATTTGGACGCTTCTTTACCGAATTATAGGGTGTCTAAAATTAAAAAACTTGGTTTTTTAGACGTTTTTCTATAATTCGATCGGATGAAATTTAAGGGGGGCTAGTAGTGTGACAATGAAAAACCGAGTTTTCTGTAAAAGTGATGAACAGCAATAGTTAAAACTTGAGATAAAAACGAAAAAATGCTCCATCAAGTTTCCAATCAGTTCTGAAAATATGAAGCCTTAGTGAGCTTTAGTTTTTATTTCGCAGCATTTCTAGGGAAAGTCCAAAAAGAGGACCCTTAAAAGATAGCGGCGATCAGAATTGTGAAAGTATTGCAGCATTGTTGTTGCTGATAACTAGATGTCATAACCCCAGTGAGAATCTTGAAGTTTTCTTGTCAAAATCTTGCTTTTTCCGTCAAGATCTGGGCAAGGTTGACATACCATTCGACTCGTCTGGAGGCAAGCAATCCAGTGAGTCTACTAGCAGTTGTTATAAGGGAAAAATCGCAAAAAACCTATAAAAAACGCGTTTTATCTCGAAAACTGCCACTAAAGTTCATTCACATTCACAATTTCATTAAGTGTCTGAGAAAGTTTACCGTTCCGGCCTTTTCGGTCTGTATTCGTTGCATTAACAAGGAACGGTGTTTTTTTCAATAATAGCGTTTTGCGTTTCAGCCGAAATTTGCTTCATTAATACCACATTGCCTGATAAATGTGTTACAAAACAACTATAGAAAAAAAGAAAAAGCCACGGTTCTCAGCCTCGTATGACGTCGAAGTCTATCACAAAGGTCATAATACTGCTACTAGCCATTCGAATCTAAAATTTAGTTTTTAGTAACTTGGCCGTGTCACTCCACAAATCTTTTCCATAAAGTTTTCTTTCCAGAACCTAGGAGCACTACAAATCGCTTGCTCATGATCACACGAATCTATTGATGTATGGTAAGCGCAGACCCAAGGGAAGAATTCTGAGAAAATTGAGGTAGAAGTGTCCAAAAAACTGTATTGATCGCCGTTTTTGCAGTTTTTGACATAGAAAAAATACAGAATCGTGTTTCAATTTTTTATTTTGATAGAAAAATCAATTCTGAACACGACTGAGTGTGTTTCAAATGTTTGAAACACGTTAGTGAATCGGCTGCCAACGAAAAGTTAACGATGATCGGAGATATCATCAGTTAAAAGAGGTAATTTGGTAAATGCCAGTAAAATTTTAGCATTAAATCAAGCCGATATTCGTAATCAGCGCGAAATTCTGCGTTCACTAACGTATCTTTCGTTGAAATTTGAGATACCAAAAAGTTCGATGTTCCAATGGGGAGTAAGGCAAAGAGTTTTGGAAAAAAATGAAAGTTTTCTTTTGGAAAAACTGAATTGGGTATTTTGTTCAGCATTCGATGCTGATTACAACCATGTGACACAAGTTGGTGTGCGCATTCGTGTCACGATTCAACAGAGTCGCACAATCATTGCTATGATCGTCACTGTGATAGAAGTGTTCATATACTTGGATATAGAACACTCATTCATGACCAGAATTTTACTTGCATTCAAGTCTTATGGCGCAACTGTATCGAGTGTTGAATCACATGGCGTCTTTAGGAGAGAAAATGCATGCTACTGTAGCGCAATCGCCTAAAGTGCCCATGATTAAAATGAAGTAAGTGTGTTCGAACCTACCTCACAGACCTCATAGCAAGAAAAGGATATCCTGGTAAGATTCTAAACAGAACTTGCGCAGCTAGATCCTAAGCAAGTTTTTTTTTGCTAATAGATAGCTCAAAGCGCGTGGATTCTAAATATATACTTTTTATAATTTAGAATTGGCTTAATTCAATAAAAGAACGGTTTTCCCGTAGAGGTCGTTAATATCCACGGCATTTTTCTTATATATTTTTCCCGAAACTTCGGCACTTAGAACGAAAATTTTTACGCCATTAGATAACCCATCGATCGAAGTCTATTTCACATTATTGGAATTTTGAAATAGAGTACTTTTGATTTTTTGCCAAATGTCCACATGATTGTCCACTGTCAGTCCGTTGTCACTTGCTCGATCGGGAAATATTGCTCGAACGAGCAACTTGCCCGATCAGACAAGACGCTATCTTGGAAACCATAGGTCATCTAACGGGTGGAAAGTGCTTATTCTTCTTCTCGCACATTGTATATTAATAGTGCATCAAAATTATGTGTTTCACCATTCAGTCAGATATTTAACAAAGAAGTGAGGCTACGCTTTTCTGTTTGTATTTAATATAAAAATCGTTTACAATAGATGAGTTAGCTCCACGAGAAAAACTTTTCTAACTTCAAACCTACACAAAGCAAGTTAATTGAACAAAAGAAAGATGTGACTAGGTAATGTAACGAAATCGAGGATGCTAAAAAAAAGAAAGAACAAAAAATGATTTTATTATTTAAAAACAAGCGTTTGGATGCGTTAGTTTTAACGTACCTTATCTGAAAATCTTGAAACAACAGCTTCTAGTGCAAATTGTTCAGGTGTTAAACTTTTACGTCGGCTATTTTCACGTTTTAATAAGAATTTGAATACGAGTACAAGTAGTAATGCACAACACATAAATCCGAGCGTAATAACATGCCCTTTACGATAGTATGGTGAATCATTTTTTATTCCATAAATAAATCCACTAAGTATACCACCAATACCACCACACGCCGGTGTTACTGTACTAAAATAAATTAACATATAAAATAAAACTTGCCAATCAAGAAAAGCAGATTTTATTTGTTCCCATGACATATCGCCTCCATCGTCCACAATTACATCTGCGTCTCTGAGTAAACGATCTGCCAAAAGATCCTTTTCACATTGATTGAGCCCTAGGTACGATAATTCACCGCACATAAATAAAAGTGATTTAACAGCAGGATAGCATTATACTTGCTTACATTTAGCTCTTGCAGGAAAATCAGCGAGAAAAAAGAAGGTCAAAATTGCTAAGCACACAGTTGGTGCGCCTTCAAGCAGAAATAGCCACTGCCATGCGGTTAAACCACCTTTATTATCCAACTGTCCAATACCATAGGCCTACAGTTATAGAAGAAGAATTACATACACATAAACTATGCTTTGGGGAAATTTTTGCTTGACTTACCAATATTCCACCGAACGCATCAGCTAATATACCAGCTGAGAAGAAAATTGACATTCTAAATGCTTGATCTTTTCTTACATACCACAGGGTAAAATACCATATAACACCAGGAAAGTACCCAGCTTCAGCCATACCCTAGATTTTCAAAATTCAAATATATTTTACAAGAATGACATTTTGTCATTGATTAACTGATTGACTGTTAAAACGCACCAAAAAGAATCTTGCTGCTACAAGACCAGCTGTATTACGTACTAATGCCATTAACATCATTATACTACCCCAAACAAACATAAGACTGCCAAACCATTTCGATATTCCAATATTTTTCATCAATAAATTCGATGGTATTTCAAATAAAACCTGCAGTTTTTTTGTTAACAGAGAAAAAGTATCAGCAATTATTACATTCATTCTCAGGCGAAATAAATCGTCAGAAACAGCATGAAAAACGGTTTTGTTCAAAACTTTAGAATAACCCGTTTTTTGACATTGATTTTGTTAACGTCGTTAAATGAACAGTTTTCTGGCGTTTTTGTTGAACGCGTTTTCTAACGACATCAAAATGATCGGTGAAAAGCGTTTATCTTCTATATATATAAAGAAGAAAGTTTGTTTGTATGTTTGTTCTCTATGCATTCAGTCCCTGTAAGAGCTAAAGCAGCCAAAATTTGCATGGCACACCCTTGGGTTCAGGGGAAGGTCAAGAGGGGGTCGGCGAGACCGAAGGAGGGGGGGAGAGTTCCCACCCAGTTTTCAAAAAGTGGTTGAAAGATTTTCGGATTTTTATGTTCTCCGATTTCTGAGGTACTTGCATCTTGCTTTTATATCTTCGCACTGCCCTTGGTCAAGGGCTACTTTTCAATATAAAACTTTTATCTCTGGGATACT